CGGGCGCTGGGCCGCGGCTGGGAGAGCGGGCGGGAGCCGCAGCCGCAGCTAAGTCCGCGGGCCGGAGCGCTCGGAGGTGGCGCGGGCCCGGCCGGGTGAGGGCTCCGAGTCCCAAGAGTGAGTGAGCGAGCGAGCGATTGCGCGCGGGCGGGGCGTGGGACCGAAGAGGGCGCGGTCCCTAGGGGTATCCCCCCTTTCCCCTGAGCGGCGCAGGCCGGCCAGGGCTGCGGGTGGGTGGGGAATCTGCTGTCCTGGTCCGCGGTAGGACAGAGCTGGCGGAGGACTGAGGCACCCTGAGCACCTGCGGGTGGGGGACACCCGTGGCGCATCCGACTCTCCCCTGCCACGACCCAACTCGGCTCTCCCCTGCCAATCCCCATTTGACAGATGGGGAAATTGAGGCTCACGGAGGCCAAGTGATTCTCAAGGTCACACGACAAGGCAGCAGCAGAGTTAGGAGGGGATGGTTCTGAGGAAGAGTCTTCCTGAGAACTCCCCAGTCTGGGGGAGTTTGTGTAGGATTGGGGTACCACATTCTTGGAAGAAGGTCGGGGAGAGAGGGGATCCGGGGTGCTTAGAGCTGCGGGCCCTGGTGCATGGTTGAAGGGGGGAGGGGCGGCAGAATGGGCGTGTGCGCACCCACGGGGGTGTGTGCGTGTGTGTGGGAGAGTGTACATGCGTGGAGATACACGGTCTTGCGTGTGTGCACACGTGTGCAGATGTCAGCGCTACTGTGGCTGAGAGATCAGAGACTGGGCTGGTTCAAGTGAACAGCAGGTCTGCGGGTTTGCATTCTGGGCTGAAGGACCTGGGGGTGGGGTATGTGTGCCTGAGGATTCTTACTGCAGGTGTGCTCGGGTGTGGGTCCTATTGTGTGTGATAAGGTGAGAGTGAGTGCCTGTGACCCTGGTGTGTATGCAAGGGGTCTTCTTTCACCTAAGGAAGGTCCTCGGCTTGAGGCAGAGAACTTGGGTAGAGAATAGGTGACTGCATGGGTAGGGACCTGCCTGCGGGAAACTGCATGGGTACCTACAGCCCGGATGGTGGCCAAGGTTGCTGATGGTGTCATGCGGGCCATGACCACCCCCACAGAGTTAGCGGCCCCTTCTGGGCACCCTTCTCTGTGCCTATTTATTGCCTATGCAGCAGGGGGGTTGGGTGGGAGGTCAGGAGCCCAGGCTGGGGTGGAAGATGGCCCTTGTAGAAGGGCTAAGCCGGGACCCCCTGGGACCTTCGTAGATAGGGCTTGGGAGTCTGCGGTTCCCAGACTCAAAAGCTTCCTGCTGACCCCTCCCAGCCGCAGTGGGCTACCCTCACCCCCCCCTCTCCACGAATGTTCCCCTCCCCTCCAGCCCGCCTCCCCAAGGGCAGGCCCCTGGGGGATGCTCCAGCCCCGCCTCCCACTCGCGGGGCGCCCAGGAGGGGGCGATGTGGGCCGGACGCCTGGGTTCTCTCCTCCCTCCTCTCATCCCAGGGAGAAATTCCTCCGAGGTCCCCTCAGGCTCTGGGTTCCCAAAATAACCCTGCGGGGGAAGGGAAGCTGTGAAGGGAGGGGAAGCAAGGAGGGGTGCAGAGCTGAGCTGCGGGGTGCTGCAGGTGCCTGTGACAAGCGAGGGGCCCCATGAGGAGGCTGGGACACCAAGCAACCCCTGGAGTCCTGGCTCGTCCCTTATTCTCAGCAAGCCCTGGGCGACCTGGCGGGTGGGCCGGAAGCCTCTCGGCCGGTCCATTTCTCAACTAGCCTGGTTGCACCATCCCGGGGCAGGACCGTTTAACCCCGAGAGTGGCAGGGGGGGGGGGCATACCCCCCCCCCCCCGGCGGGGGGGGGCGCCCCCCCCCCCCCCCCCCTCCCCGCCGCGGCGCCCGCGGGCCCCCCCGCCCGCCACCACCCCGCCCCCTCGCCGCCGCAGGGGGG